TTTGTCACCCTAATTCAATAAATAAAATTTAACGAATTTTATTTCAAGTTCGAAATCGGCCAAGAGAACATAAATAACAATAATCATTGATTAACTACTACATACAAAAATTATTTAATTCATTAAAATTCCTTTCAGAACGTTATTCACGCCGGGAGATAAACGTAGAACAAAGGGCATTCTGATGATTTACATGAGCGTAGGCGGAAAGAAAGACACGGGCCCTGGCGAGTTATATGTTTCTGTAGTGTATATATTATATACTGTAATATAATATATAATATATAACACATATTATATATAATATATATAATAATAATTGTCTACTTCGAGGCAATAATGACTGTATAATTAAGGTAAATAAATTACAAAACACTTTCAGTATCAACCCGTAAAAGTCTGTAGCTAGTCTCTATATACATGGATCTCTCCTGTTATAGGTAGGATTTAACAAAATAAACACGCTTTGGGCCATACAAATACTGGTTCCGTACGGTATTTAAGCCTGCGGCTTTCAGCTAAGCCACTGAAACTGATTGTAAAAACTAACACAGCTCCCCGTCACCGGTCCGGATATTTAAAGTCATGATATCTTTCTTTCACTTCCCATGACGTCGTCATCATCATTATAGCATATCACAAGTTCACTGCTGATAGGCCTAACGCAAGGATTGTCACAAGCCAAAGTACAGTCCTGAGCCACCTGTATCCATTGACTTTTTGCATCTCTTACCAGATCGTCGCACCATCTAATAGGGGACCGCACTATACTTAGCATAGGGCAGCTACTCGAGAACCTTTCTTCTCCATCAGTTGTCGGTTCCATGAGTTATATGGCCGGTCAATTGCCACTTCAGCTTACTGATCCGTTGGGCTTTACATTATTATTTAAACTTAATTTTCTCAATTAATACTTAAGTATTGTCCACAACTAATATCATGTAACAAAAGTAAAAGAAGTAAACATAATATTTCTTAATCTCTAAATATCTTTAATTACCTGTACTAAGTGATGAAAAAATACATTGTCTAGTATGTTGCATAAATTTCTATATATAAAAATCAATTGTCCGTTAGTCTTGCAAAAACTTGAAAATGTCTCAACCGCTTTTGATGTTTTTTGTGTGTTTTTGAATGGGCTCTGGATGGTTTAAAACCTCAATTGGACCTGGTAGTTGTCGAGATTCAGACAACTACCAGGTCAATCACCAGTGCAAAGCCAAGGCAGATCTCTAGTTAAAAATCACTTTTAAGAGCTTTTAATTTATGTAAACGCATTCCTTTGTTTTCGCCGTGCGTACACTAGAGCACGTAATACTTTCTTATAATACCATCTATATCTATCTATGCTCCTTTTTTGTTTTATTCAATAAATCAATTATTTTGAAATTGGGTAAATTCTAAAATGACTGTAACTACCCCGTTATTATACCGCCGTTATCAAACATCCAGCAATCGAATCAAACGAAATAAAAAATACAAGAATAAAAAATACGGACATGTAGCTTTGTTCTTGAATCTTGAAAAAAATCCTTAATTGTACCAGTTTTTGAGGAGGAAACAGAAACAATTACTTTATTATATTTACTATATTATATATTAAATGGCTACTTTAGTATTACTTTGAGAGTATGTTTATTAATTTGTCTTCTTTCTTGCAGCAATGGAAAAACGTAACAATATTCAATATAATTTTGTATAGCGATACTTTATGAACTGAGTGAGCATTCTTGTATACTTTATACTCAGAAGCGTCTAAGATTTGGGAAGATTTTTTATTACAAGAACATAACACTCACGCCTGTCACCCAGAGGGTTAGGCAGAGACTATGAACTGCCATTTGGCACGATCCTGACACACCTTTCTCGTCTCCTTTACATCCATATATCTTCGCGTACATGTTCGTATGCTTTTCATTAATTTAAAAAAAAAACGACTAAAGATTTGGTATTTTTTGTATTTGGATATCGTTTCACTTTTTAAGTTTATCTAGATATGGGTCATCGCTGAGAATATTATCTATATATTAATAAAGGAAGAGAAAATTTTCTAAACCTTTAGGATAGTGTGAGATTTGTACATAGTCAAAAAGGAGTGCAGAAAGCTAAATTTGTATACAATATGAACAGTTGAAAGCATAGTAATACAATATATAAATAGAGACAATGGATATACTGAGAGTTGGAAGTGCTTAATATACAAATTTAAAAATCTAATGATTTACGGTCGAACTTTGACCCCAAGTAAAATTCGGTAGTCCAAATACAAGCTTATATTTACAGCAGAAAATAATATAAATTCAGGAATATAAGTGTACATGCCCAGTTATTCTCATAATAAATTATAGCTACTAAGCGATGTCCAGAGTTATCGGTCGGTGAGACGATTTATGAAATTTATAAATCGTCTGAGCGATAATTCTAAAACTCCAAATAAACTCTGGTATATACGCCGTTCATGAGCTATTTGTTTCAATATGGAGTTTTTTTTATAATTAAATATTACTATGACAAACCAATATAGTTTCATTTGATGGTAACTGGTTATTGCAGTCTGGACATGCACACTCTCAACTTCAAATAAAGATGGACACCAATTGAATAAAAGAAATATTAACAGCAACTACAAAAAAACTACAAAATCACAATTTCTTTTAATTTACGACGTTTCCGGCGCTTAACAGTTCCCATTGTCGCGGGTTAAACAACAAATGAAGAATTAAAATAGATTGCCTTATATCCCAGAAGAATCTCCTTTATTATTCCAACCGGAACACAGCAATGGGTACACTGCTGTTTGTCGGAAGAAATACAAGGGAGAGTGGTACCACCATAGGCGGACTCATAGACAGAAAAGAAGTTTCACCAATTAGGTTCAAAATGGTTAGATGCAGTCTTTGTATATATGTGTTTGGATGTGAAAAGAGCGAAATAGGTTTGTCAGGACCGTGTCAAATTGAACTCCGTAGTCTCTGCTTACCCCTCTGGATGACAGGCGTGAGATCTTATAAATATAAATGTATTCGGATCCGTGTCTTTAACACTGTAAAGTCTAACAATCATCTTAACAATCAATATTTACTTTCATCAACATTTGACTTCAGAAGCTGTTTGTGGATTTTTTTTATTATTTTTAGTTCTTCTAAGTCTACTTATATGACAGTACTAATAAACATAAACAGAAACTTTTTTATTCAATATAGATTATAAACAATACTTATTGAAAGTCACTTTTTTCATTTACCACTGGTTCGCAAAGAAAAACCTCTGTCCTGGGAAGAACCAGCAAGAAACCCAGCGGGACTATTTTTTTTTTTTCAAATATTAGCTGACAATCATGTACGTTACAATTAACAACACATAATAAATTAGAAATAGCTCGGTAGCGATCACAATTCCAAGGGGTTATTATCGTCTATAAATTCCTTAATATTATAATGTATTAAGAGGCCAGAGTTGATATATTAATTTCCTTAAAGAATCATGCCCACTTTCCATACATTGAATGACCTGTCACTTGATTCCTTTAACAGGTCGCGTCTACCTTTAAATACTGTTGCATAAAAACAATTATTGTTTATAATAACGTAATAACTTATCATCTTTTCATTTAGAGGCCAGGGAAAAATGCTATTCAGTAAATAAAAGTTTGAGGTTATAACAACTGTCAGATAAGGTCTGTATACTTATTTTTCTTTCCACAAGTACAAAACCATTAAAAATCGTATCTAATTATAAATTAATTAGTTATAAAAAAGAAATTGGTTATTTTAAACATTCATAAACCACATGACGAATGAGCAAGTTTTTCGTAGTCCGAAACGGAACGTGTAAAACACATTTTTAATGTATTTTGGCATGGCTTCTGGACCTTTGAGCCATTGTAAAACACGTTCCGTCTCCAAAAGTCTATTGAGAATGATAAACAAAGTAACATTTTTTTTCTGGCTTCATTTGAAAATACAATTATGCGATGCGAAATAAGAAAAAAATATGCAATTTTAAAAGATATTTTACATCACTAGACGCGATGGAAAATTGACTGAGACTGACACTGGACATGATTCTTTTTGCCTGAGCGACTCTGTTAGTTTTAAATCATATATTGCTCTAATGGCCCTCTTCGGTAAAACAAATATAATTTCAGTGTCAGTCGCGTGTCCTCATAGCAAAATACCATACGACATAATGCTATGGAAATACCTAAAGTAAACTATTCTAGCTGTTTCAACGTGGTTTAATTAATTTAAGTTCTAATCTTTGTTATAGCATATGCTGTAGAACTAAGTCTCCTAGCTAGTTTTGATATATAGGGGAACCATTGAAGCTTTGCGTCTAGTGTAATTCCAAGAACAATGGTAGTATTAACAAGACTCAATTCTTCCCCATTTAAAATTACATAAGTATTAACATGTTTGACATTCAGAGTTAACCAACCAAACCATTGAAACCATTCTTACTTAAAGCCACCCACTCACACGCATTGACTGCGGTCAAGCCTCATCAAATCATCATTAAAATACTAGACTGCTGTTTAGGAACCTTGTTTCCACAGCGGTTTATACAACATTTTACAGCATTTCGACAATCCCGCGCAGTTTTTTTATAGGATAGGGTGACAAATGAGCACACAGTCTACCTGATGGTAAGTGGTTGCTGCGGCCCATAGACATCTACATCTATCCTCGATTACAAATCAAAATGCAGATGCGTTGTCACCCGTGAGGACTAAGATGGAATGCCTCGTTTCCAGTAAAAAGGGTCTCCGGTTCTCTACTCACCATACGAAACACAGGAGCATTGTGCTACTATTATACGCTGGTATTCTGTGAGAGTGTGGTCCTTACCCGGTCAAGCCGACCCATTACACCATTATACCACAACTATACTACTAATATAACTGCAGCATGGCTCTATCACGTATAAAAGTTTATTTGTTTTATTAAGAATTCATATCCGTGGTTAAAATAAACGAGGAAACACGATAAATACCAACCAAACTAAAGCTTGTTATACCTGAAAGTTACAATGTTCCGACAAACTGTCGAGCCTTTTAAGGACACGTCGGACGTGGGACACCCTTTGTCGGAACGGAAACGGTTTTGTACATGACCCATTTGTGGCAGCTTGTCTAGTTTATCACCTCTTCAAAAATACAAGGTTTATGAAGGTTTTCTTAGTGTAACAAATTTTGTTGTAACCTTTTTTATTGTTGGTATAACTTACATCGTGAAAAAATAGACAGAAAACCATGTTTTATTTAGACGACTGCTGGGGGATTAGGCGAAGAACAAGTTTATTTTTATGTACCATATCACAACTAACATCACTAAGTATAGTAAAACAGAGTCGCTTATCGATTTCATTCTGTGTAATCTTTAGATATGCATAAGGGTGACAGACAGTACATTGTCCACCATTTCTAACACTGTAGTAGAGTTTGACTACTATCCCACATCACGGTTAGTAATGAGGTGGACGATGGTAAATGATGCTGTGTCAGATATGATGATAAATCTCACTCAATAAGACACCTCACTGGTAAATAGAACCCGTGCGAAGCCTAGGCTATTCAATAACCGCTGTTTATATTATAAGAGTATTACGAAATGGAAAATTTAACAAATTCACGACACTAACGACGTCAAAATGTCGATCGGAAATAAACGGGTAGATAGATACTAATACGTATTTAACAGGATGACAAAACCAGTCCAAAACAACGGTGGCATACTAGAAACCTAATAAAATACTTCAAATCCTTATGAATGAAATGGCTGGGATGTGGTACAAGATTTATGTTAAATACGATTATACGTCTAAGGCGTTTAAGGTAATGCTTTAACCGTTTCGCTCTCTTCCGTACTACATATAGTACATTGCTATTGTCTTACTATTGTGTCTGAAAATCGGACAGTAAGTGTGAATTCACTAGCTAACTGTTAATGACATTGTAGAACCTGATCAAATGCTAATTTAAACATTCTTACACTATATAAAAGGTTTAATTTTATTTTTACTTTTTACCTAAAAACGTTAACAATAGGATTTTATCCTGCATCGTGGAGGCAGTTTACATCCACAAATTGCACAAGGACAAACATCCAGACCCGGAGCAAATATTAGTAGTCCATACAAATACTTTATAAGTGCGAGATTCGAACCCGCGGCATCAGCTTCGTAACTCCAATATAAGGTACTAATACGTTATTGCCCGTTGAATTATAGTGTAGGACGTTACGACTTATGAGTACATTTCTTGATATCGATTCCTAGAACATACGATTACATTTCTTCATTTATCGACTCGTTACCGTTGCAGCTCATTAAAGTCTGCTGAACGTAGGCTCCCATATAGATTCATAGGGCCAGTAGTTGGCACGCTTGGAAAGCGGGTTGGCATCCGCAGTTTTTTATTTTAGATGTTACTAGGAAGATGCTGCTGCCCATCTCCTGGTTTGATTCCCTCTGTCGCCTTTTACGAAACCCAGGGGATGATATGGGGTAGTGAATATACAAATACCGCCACTACAGGATAGTAACGTAATTACGTAATTCAACGAAAATGTATGAATTGAATGAAATACCTACGATATTTATGAACAATGCGTAATTTCGAAAATCGGTGCCATTTTTACTTCTTTTTCTTTAATACTCTAATATTTTTTAAAAGTTTCTTTACTCGACCTGTTGAATGAATTTTCAAATGTTATGTGTACGGTTTTTCATAAATATGGATAAAGATTCCGGTACTTTTAGAAATCTCAAAATGATAATAACACTTCGAAGTAACTAAAAGTACTTAGGGCTGTCATCGTTGATTTAAAAGTCTTTTGAAATCATTTTAAAACCATAACATAAAACAATTTTATCATAAAAACATACTCAATATACTTAAAACATACTAATTATACTACGGCATTTTTACAGTCAAATTGGTAACTGACCTGTCATCTTGCAGTTGCTTCAACTCGCTTAGTTCCAACTCCCTCCGCAGATTTGACACCTCACAAAGGAGCATGTCCCGTTCCGCGGACACCTTCTCCAACTCAGCCCGCAAGCGGACCACTTCGTTGGTCAAATCCATCGTCGCCATCGTCACGACTATCGATAACCGCTATCGAAAGTTGACATCACTGAATACAGATATACACGGCGCATACAACACAACACACGCGCATATTAAACTTTCATTTCGTACACCAACACACACGTACGCACGAATTTAAGAATTGAAAATGTATTTTTATCGATAACTTTATCAGACTGGCTCCATCTCACGTTACATTGTAGGAATCTGAAACAATAAATCACACTGTTAGTACAATATCGAAGAAGCGCACAGTCGGTATGAGAATTCAGAATATTTTTCTCATAAGGCGTTCTTTCAGAGAGCATGGAATCATAAATATGAAAGATACGATAATACAGGCGCAAAATTTCTGAAATCATACTGCTTATTGCCCATTCCATAGAAACATGCAAGTTTTTCATACCACCCTTCGTTATATTAGATGGATCTTTTTTATTTTAATTTTATGGAAAAAGTGTGCAAACAAGTACAGTTCTCTTGATGTTACGTGGATGCGGTGGCCATAGATCGATACATCAATCCTGGATTAAGAATCAAAATGCAGATGAGTTGTCACCGACACAGATGTACAGATGGAATGCCTCGCTTCCAGTAAGAAGTCTCCGGTTCTCTACAGTCACGATACAAAACACAGCAGCATTAAGCTACTATTTTATACTGGTATTGTAAGGCGGGACCTCACAATACCAGCATAAAATAGTAAAGGGCGTGGTCCTTCCCAATTCGAGCTGACTCGTTCGTGCTCCAATTATAATACAGCATGGCTGTACAACGTATAACAATAATGTAAAAAAGATCTATCGCTACATCGCAATAAGTGTGTGTTACTGTTATCAATGCATTACTTTTGAACAACAACTCTTCTTGACCTCAGAAAATCTCCAAATGCATATAAATTGTATAACGGATAACGGTAGACACAGTTAAGGTTAGAATGGCTAAGTATTATTCTGAATAAAAAAATAATGATCACTGCATGATTTTCGGAATATCACCCATTGCTGATATAGTTCAAAGTATATTTAAAGAAAAGTTATGTTTTTTAAATATATTTAAATGTTTTTTTAATTAAATACAATTTAATAATTTATTTAAGTGTTTTTGTTAAATAAAAGTTAGTAATTTATGTAAGGGAAGTCAATGCATATTTTACAAAAATTAAGTATTACTTGTTAAATTATTTAAAATAAAGAGCTATTCAGCGTTCTTGGTAATATACCGACACAAGTATGGCTATATGATAATTCAACGTTGAAAAAATTTACGGTCATTAATACTGTATACTTATAATGTTTTTTTTTTAAAATAAATTAATGAAATACGTAGCATCAAAAACAAAAGTTAAGTAAACATAATAATAACATAAACTCAACTGTAAGAACAGCCAACTTCTTACAAACTGTTGTTACATTTTTAAGTAAGGTCTATTTTAAATTTCAGCTACTTGTTAATAAATATAATATTTCAGTATTGCGCTATTGTCTGAAAAATTACATGAGCCAGAAAATATTTATTTGAAATAAAATATAATTTTTTAAATTTATCGGAAAATTTTACCTAAAAAGGAATTATTAATACTTATTAGTTTTATGTACCTAAAAGTTGTTGAAATAAAAAATGTTGAAAATCAATATTGCATGAAAACTTTAAGCGAAAGAAGATATAAATTTGTTAAGAGTATTTTTTAAAGTTTTGATTTCATCCGTCCATTACAGCCTACTGCTGAACACAAAGCCCGTAGATTGCCTCGTAAACGAGCTAGTTATCATGGGTAAGCGGGTCGACAACCGCAATATTTTTTCTAATTTTTTAGGTAATCATCACCGATATAATGAATACATATGAGTAAATAATAAACACGAAGATCATCAAAAACCATTTAACTTATCAGTTTTTATATATAGATAGATAGATTATAGATTATAGTATAGACTATAGTAATATATAAAATAAACAAAATTTTATTTTATATATTATAGTTATATACATGGAAAACTACCCGCGCGGAACCGATGTTTCGTGAGAAAGGGAAAGATATCGGCGGACGATGAGGGTGGTATCGCAGAGCACCGCCTTTTACATTTGAGCCCGGAGCGGTTCGTCACCTCAGATGACCCGTGAGGCTTACCGAGGCTAGCCCCATCGCAGAAACGACTACAGGAATAATAAGTATTATCACAGCCTTAAAGTGCAACTTCAACAGACCATTTGTGTCATGAGTCTTGAGCTTTTGAGTCGGTTTACTATTTCTTATATATCTCATGTGAAGTTTTCAGCACGTTTATCTTCCAACCAACATTATGTACTTTTGTGATACGTTTGGCTTCAAACACGAACAAAATGTAACTTTCAGCATACCTTTGGTGCCGGCGGGAATCGAACCCGGGTTGCTCACGTATTCTGAAATTTACAGCGAGCGCTAACCAACTAAGCTACCACGGCTGTCATCTCAGAATTGACAGGAGGCCTACGGCCAGCAGTGGGACGTGTGTAGGCTGTAACTATATAAACAATGTATTCCATCTTATTCCATTATTATTTTTAATTAAGGACAGTTGTTAAGGTTTATATCTACACCATCTATTTACCAGCAGGTGAACAATGATTCCGTTTGTCTCCCTTACTATAAAAATTGACTACATATACGTAATAAAGCCTTAACACATTAGTTAAATAGACTTCCGTGTTGTGATGTTATTTTTATAAATAATAGACGAACAATTTCAGAGACAATGGAAGTCAGAAAAGGCCACATAAGTAATTATTTACGTTGCTGAGTTTCGTAATACGTTCAAATCATGACATATGATGCGTTAACTAGTTCAGTATTTTCATTGTTAAAACTATTGTTGCGAAGCCGTAGATAAAATTAAAAAAAAACGGAGATATTTTTTAATTTTTCAAATTACAAGCAAATCTATGTTGCAAAAGTGAACGGCAAAGTCGAAAAAGGAGTCCCTAGGCGAAAGTTTATCGACCAAATTGGCTATATATTTAAAATGGGACAAATTACGAGTCCCCACAACGGACGAGCATGTATGCGTGGGTATATGAATGTGGAAAAGGCGAGAGAGGTAGGTCAGGTGCCAAAGTGAGTCATAGAGGTATAGGTCATAGAGTCATAGAGGATAGCCAAATGGAGTCCGTAGACTCTGCCTATCCCTCTGGGCGACAGGAGTGTTTATTATGTATGTATTTTTCAATTTCATCACATCATTCCACTTGACCGCATCCAGCGCAGAGCGGCTCGAATCGTCGACGACCGAGTGCTTTCCGATCGGCTCGATTCACTGGCGCTGCAAAGAGATGTTGCATCTCTTTGTGTATTTTATCGCATCTATCACGGGGAGTGCTCTGAGGAATTGTTCGGATTAATCACAGCCGGAAAATTTCGTGAACGCACTACGCGGCAAACGTCCCGATACCATCAACACCATCTGGATGCTTGGCGGTCCACCACTGTACGTTTCAGAAGGAGTTTTCTTTCGCGTACGACCTCTCTATGGAATAGTTTACCACCGGCGATTTCTCCGGACCGATACAACCTGGGGACCTTCAAGAAAAGAGCTTACTCCTTTCTAAAGGGCCGGCAACGCACCTGCAATTCCCCTGGTGTTGCGGTCGATCATGGGCGGCGGTAGTCACTTAACATCAGGTGAGCCGCATGCTCGTTTGCTATCTTCTATAAAAAAAAACATCATTGACGAGAAATTATGCGTAGGTATATGAATATAGAAGAAGCTGGGCTGGTCAGGATCACGCTAAAGGGAAGTCCGCAGTCTTTGTTACCCATCTAGGTGACAGTTGTAAGACCGGCGACGAGGAAAAGCATCAAATATATGCGACTTCTGACATTTTCTCATTACCCGTGGTGTTTCTGACAAGTTGAATGAAATATGAAATATAATACGTTACTTCACCGCTCAGCATGTACTAAATTCATTGTACAAAATGATGTAGCCGTTATACAATTACACACCTGCACGAAGTACACACGCAATATCTTTCGTGTTTTATGAGAATAAACATTAACGGCTGTGCTTGCGAAATTTCAACGTAGCATTATTGTATTTATAAGGATTATAAAGGTCGCTTAGCGAGCCATAAAGAGGGGAGGGTTATGCTCAGTTTCTCTGCGAGTCAGAATTCGTAACGAAATCATCCGCATTACAATCAAAATCACCGACATAGTCTAACGGTACAGTAAACTTAAAAGCTATGAGCTTCTAGAACCGACAACTGATGGGGATGAAAGTTTCTAAAGTCTTCCATTTGAAATTAGTGAAAAAAGGAGGATTAAAAACGAATCTAAATCAATCATAAGAATGAAATACCCAAGCCCAATTTCGCAATATTCTAGATGTCAATCTCTAACGGAAACCCCTTCGATATTAATTCAACTAAACTCGTACATCCACAATATGAAAGTTACAGTGCGTTCAAATATTTCGACGCGAGCAAACTCTGCGGATAGATTGCTTAGTAACCTAATATTACCATCAGATTACCAGCTGAGAAAGTATTTGAATTTCAAGGAAATACAGTGATTATTTTTAAATCTTAACTGGAGCAAGAAAACGTATTTCCCTAAAGATGATACCTATATTCTGGCAATAGTTGTAATGAAAATGATAAATTTGGAATTTATGGTGTGAAATACCGCCACGACGTCACGTTATAATTCGATATGTGAAGGGTATTCATGATAGTTATTGTATTATGACTTTTCAGGTCATAAGTTCTGTCAAAAACTTTTTATAAAATTAATGATAGACTTTTTGATAATTATGTAGAAATTATATATAAAATGAAAGGTAATTTAATTTAGAATACAATTTTATTTACAATATTCAAAATGCCCTCCCCTATTTTGAATACATGCCCTTAATCGACGCGGCCAATCATCAATCGCAGCCAGCACGCACCACACTAATATCTATTTCTGCCGCTGCTTTAGCCAAAGATGCTCGGAGAGATTCAAAATTCTGATGAGGTTTAGAGCA